GCTGCTTCTTTTTTAAATGCTGTATATATTTTAAACTTTTTATTATGGGAAACTTTCAAACTTACACAGGAGTAAAGTGAACACTAAAATAAATCACTATATACTTATCACTTCACTTCAACATTATCACTATTATGCCAGTTTTTTACATCTATACTAGGATCCTCTCAACCTCACACTAATAATTCTCTGTTGTGTGGGGCTGTCATGGGCATTGTAGGATGTTTAAGAACATCTCTGGCCTCTACCTAGTATTTGCCAGTAGCTAACCAATTGTGATGACCAATCATCACCTCTAGACAATACCAATTGTCCTCTGCGGGAAAACTGCCCAGAGTTGAGAACCATTGTTCCATATCCATTCCACTGGGTTATTTTAAAGCAAATCTGAGACGTATTACTGCAACTGTAATTACTTTAGTATGTATCACTAAGTGATAAGGATTCTTTTTTCTTTTCTTCTTTTTTTAATCCTCACCCGAGGATATTTTTTCCAATGATTTTTAGACAGAGTGGAAGGGAGGGAGAGAAGGGGGAGAGAGGGAGGGAGGGAGGAAGGGAGGGAGGGAGGAAGGGAGGAAGGGAGGAAGGGAGGAAGGGAGGAAGGTAGAGGGAGAGGAACTGAACCTCTAGTTTAGGATAGGTCCCTGTTTGTTCTCCTGAAGGGACACTTACTATGAGCACAATGCAGTCCACTCAGTGCTCCAGAACAAAGCTTAACCAGAGCCCTACAGGTGACCTTCACAAAAATCAAGGAGAGCAATCGTAATCCTGGGAAGAAGACGTGATACAAAAAATAGAATAACTCTTTAAAAATAGCCCGGTTGATGTGGCTCAGTAGTTGAGTGTCGACCTATCAACTAGGACAGTGGTTCTCAACCTTCCTAATGTCACCACCCTTTAATACAGTTCCTCATGTTGTGGTGACCCCCAATTTCATTGTTACAAATTGAACATAATTAAAGCATAGTGATTAATCACAAAACAATATGTAATTATATATGTGTTTTCCGATGGTCTTAGGCCACCCCTGTGAAAGGGTCGTTCGACCCTCAAAGGGGTCTCGACCCACAGGTTGAGAACCGCTGAACTAGGAGGTCACGGTTTGATTCCCAGTCGGGGCACATGCTCCGGTTGTGGGCTTGATCCCTAGAGTGGGGCGTGTGGAGGGCAGCTGATCAATGACTCTCTTTCATTACTGTTGTTTCTGTCTCCCTCTCCCTTCCTCTCTGAAATCAATAAAAATATATTTAAAATATATATGTGGCAATTTGTGCAAGAGGGCACTGTTAATTTTTTAAAAGCCACTATAAAACAAGGAGCAATTTCACACCAGCCAGGGTGGCTACTATAAAAAAATCCCAGAAAATACTAAGTGTTGGCCAGGTTGTGGTGAAACTGGAATTCTTATGCACTGTTGGTAGGCATGTAAAATGATACAGCTGCTGTGGAAAACACAAAAAAACTTAAAATAAAATTACCAAATGATCCAGCAATTCTACTTCTGGGTACATGCCCCAAAGTCTTGAAAGCAGGATCATGAAGAGATATTTGGACACCCATATTCATAAGAAGCATTAGTCACAACAGCTAGAATGTAGAAGCAACCAATTTTCCATTGATTGATAAATAAGAAAATGTGGTATACACATACAATGGAATATTTTCAGCTTTAAAAAGAAATTCTGACACATACTACAAAATGGATGAACCTTGAGGACATTATGCTAAATAAAAAATAAGCCAGTCACAAAAAAAGAAATACTACATGATTCCACTTATATGAGGTACCTAAAGTGGTCGAATTCAGAGAGAAAGCAGAATGGTAGTTGCCAGGAGCTGGAGGGAGGGAAAACTGGGAAATTATTGTTTATTAAGTCTGGAGTTCAAATTTTACAAGATGAAAGGGTTATGGAGATGGATGGTGGTGATGGCTGCACAACAATGTCAATGAACTCAATGCTAGAATTGGATTTACTAGTATGCATTACTATATTACACTAATCATCCAAATTAACACCAGTAAAAATACTTTGAAAGAAAAACTGGTAACAAAAGAACAAATATTGTATGATTCCACTTAAATTAGGTACCTAGAATAGTGAAATTCATAGACAGAAAAAGAATGGACTAGGGGAAGGAGAAATGGGGAGTTAGTGTTTAATGGGTTACAGAGTTTCAGTTTGTGATAATAATATAGTTCTGGAGATGGGTGATTGGTGATGGTTGCACAACAACGTAAATGTACTTAATATCACTAAACTGTACAGTTAAAATGGCAAATTTTATATTATATATATTTTACAATTAGGACAAAAGCTGATTCTACCAATATATTCCAAAATAATTTGGAATACATTTTAAAAATAATGTATTTGAGAAAAATAACCAGTTTCTTGGACTTCAAAGAAAGAAAGTAAGGCTGCCTGCCTCCCTTCCTCTTTTTATTCCTTCCTGCTTTGATAATTAAAACACCAGCCATTGCTGTTCAAAGCACCACAAGGGCCAGTATATAAAACTTATAACCCTTAGTTCATCTGTATAGAAATATTTTGCTCAGCAAACCCTTTATAATTTATAACAAGCATTTCAAAACAACTGCCTCATTTCTCAAAAAACAAATATTTGCCTTTAAAATTAGAACATGACATAAAAATTTACAGCAATACCACAAAAGATCTGCTCTGGTAAAATCATCTTTACATATAGGGCTTTAGAGACTGCTGAGAATATGTACTGGTATGCCTCTTCAATTTCCTGTTTGGCCAAAGACAATATACAAAATTATTATTTTTTAATATTTTTATTGATTTTTTTAGAGAGAGAAAAAAGGAGAGGGAGAGAGAGAAACACTGATGTGAGAGCGCAACATCAATCAGTGGCCTCCTGCATGCCCCCCGATAGGGATCGAGCCTGAAACCCCCACACATGCCCTGACTGGGAATTGAACCAGCGACCTTTCAGTGCAAGGGACGATGCCCAACAAACTGAACCACCAGCTAGAGCCAAAATTATTTTTTAACTTAAAAAGATTTAATAGAAGCATCGAACAGACTGTCCAACCTATGAGGGAAGGCGGGGTATGGGGGGGGGGGGTAAAAGATTAACCAAAGGACTTGTATGCATGCATATGAGCATAACCAATGGACACAGACAGTAGGGGGGGGGGGGGTGAGAGCATGTACTGGGGGTGGGAGCATCCGGGGAGAGGTCAATGGGAAAAAAAGGAGACTCATGTAATACTTTAAACAAAAAGAATTTAAATTTAAAAAAATTATATTAGTATTTCATAATTAGCAATAATCTTGATAATTAAGGTAATTTTGTTTCTTTAAAAAAAATTTTTTTAATTGATTTCAGAGAGGAAGGCTCGAGAGGGAGGGAGAGATAGAAACATCAATGATGAAAGAGAATCAATGATTGGCTGTCGCCTGCACACCCCACACTGGGGATCCAGCCTGCAACCCAGGCATGTGCCCTTGGCTGGAATTGAATCTGGGACCCTTCAATCCACAGGCCGATGCTCTATCCACTGATCCAAACTGGCTAGGGCTAATTTTGTTTCTTTTTTTTTTTTTTTTTTTTTTTTTTAAAATATATTTTATTGATTTTTCACAGAGAGGAAGGGAGAGAGATAGAGAGTTAGAAACATCGATGAGAGAGAAACATCGATCAGCCGCCTCCTGCACATCTCCTACTGGGGATGTGCCCGCAACCCAGGTACATGCCCTTGACCGGAATCGAACCTGGGACCCTTCAGTCCGCAGGCCGACGCTCTATCCACTGAGCCAAACCGGTCTCGGCAATTTTGTTTCTTTTTAATCATAATATTGAAACTACTCAAATCCATATTAGTTAGCTAGGTAAAACAGGGATATATCTGAGGGAAGAGAAAGGCTGAATATTAAGAAAATATACATTAAGTAGAAGGAATCACACATCTTATGTTTAATCTTGAAGTCTACCACTTTGTCTTTTGACTTTCTTGTAAGATTGGTTAAAAGACCAGTTTTATGGAGAAAATATATTTGCAACATAAATCTATAAACTTCTTCATTTAATAGTTAGAATCAGGTAAGAGGATGTGAATAGCCAGGATACTGCATTAACTGAATCTAGTTCCTAAGTTTAGGAAAGCAAGAGCTGCAAAATTGAGGAAACTCTGTACACAGTATGGTAACATCTCACTATTCCTCACCAAATACAGTGGCAGATGGATAACACATAAAAGGTTGGAGTACCTACTTTTCTGATTCAAATGCTCCCTACTTAGCGGACTTCATAAGCCTTCAAATGTTCCATTACATAATTAATGCAGGAAAAATTGTGCACAGTTAAATAATGGAATCAGAAAAAAATACCTCAAAAAGTCTGATTTAATAGGAAATTCATGATGAGAAAGATTGCTTCACAGATTAACATTTTCCAAACTCAAATGCAATTTTCATTTCTTAGGCTGTTGGATGATTTCTTTCTCTTATGTTCTTTATAGCTTTATTGTTGTCCTAAGTAAAACATGCCATTTCTACAGGTGTGTACCACATATTCTGCTCTCTGGTGATCAGGGATTTGGCAGTACTGCTCAGACCATCGACACAGCTTCTCCAGTCATAGGGACTTTACACTAAAGGGCTGAAATCCATATAAAGTGATAAAGGGTTGACATTTTGTTGACTAGGGAAAAACAACACAAAGGCGGTATTTTAAAGGTAACTATGGCCTAATATCACCAAAGGGTAATATTAACAAGGTGACATGATCAAGTAAGATATAGTTGTTTCATTACTTGTTAAAACGCATCATAGCTATTAGAATCTGTAATCTACATTTAAAAAAACATGAGTACTTGTCCCTGTTACTCTTTCCTATGAGGTTAATATGAAAACAACTTTAGGGAAAGTAAACACATAACAGTCACAAATGCACAAGGTTACTACAGACTGAGGAAAGGAAACATTACAAATATTATAAAAGGGTCAGACATAGGGTGAGTGGCTCACCTCTTCTGTCCTTCGTGTCAGAATTACCTGTGTTACAAGTGAAAAATAGAAACATTCATTCAAATTAAAACATTACTATTCAACCTAAGGTAAGACAAAATAAACTCTAGGAATACAGATACATTCACCTTATATATATTGGAGCTAGAATGAGGCAACCTCCAACACCTGTGAAAGGAGATTTCCCAGATTCACTTAACTTTTAATCAGTGGTTTGTCCTTCTCTGTGAGTCTAAAAACAATGCAGCATCAATACTCATAAAACGTACAAGAATATAGCCCTAGCTGGGTTTGGTCAGTGGTTAGAGCATCAGCCTGCGGACCGAAGGGTCTCGGATTCCATTCCTGGTCAAGGGCACATACCTGGGTGGTGGGTTCCCTCCTCATCCCTGTTTGGGGCACATGCGGGAGGCAATCAGTCGATGTGTCTCTCTCACATTAATGTTTCTCTTTCTTTGTTTCTCCCCCTCCCTCCCACTCTGTCTAAAAATCAATGGAAAAATATCCTCGGGTTAGAATTAACACAAACAAACAAACAATCAGTCTTGTGGCAAAATCTACCAACGCTCTCCCAATATCAATCTCTTGTCTTTGGTACAGAACCCAATTTTTTTTTAAAAAAATCCTCATCTGAGGACATGCTGAGAGAGAGAGAGAGAGAGAGAGAGAGAGAGAGAGAGAGAGAGAGAGAGAAAGAGAAAGATCAATATGAAAGAGAACCATCAATCAGCTGCCTTCCATAGGTGCCGCAATGGGAGATCGAACCCATAACCTAGGTATGTGCCCTGACTGGGAATCAAACAGGCAACCTTTCAGTGAACAGGGCGAGGTTCAAACAACTGAACCATTCCAGCCTGGCCAGAACCCATTTTTGTTTTGTTGTTTTCTTCAGCTGAGCACAAAGCTACCTAGCTAAAAACTACATTTCTGAGACTCCTTTGTGCTAGGTGTAGTCATATAAGGAATTCAGCCAGTGGGATGTGTGTGAAACTGATGAAGGCAATATCTGGTCACATCGCTTGCAAAAAAATTTGTGTTCCCACTGCCTCTGTTTATCCTTTACAGGGGCTGAAACCAGAACCCAATAATGAGAGCCATCTTTAACCAAACAAATGAGGGAAATTTTGTTGTGATGACAGGGCCACAAGAATACAGGAACTTGGTCCTAGGTGAGGAAGCGAAGTCCTCTATCTACCTCTAGAATGTGACAGGGGCCTTAACCGGTTTGGCTCAGTGGCTAGAGCATTGACCTGCGGACTGAAGTGTCCCGGGTTTGATTCTGGTCAAGGGCATATGCCCAGGTTTCGGGCTGGATCCCCATTAGAGGGCGTGCAGGTGGCAGCTGATCAATGAGTCTCTCTCATCATTGATGTTTCTATCTCTTTCTTCCTCTCCCTTCCTCTCTGAAATCAATAAAAATATATTTTTTAAAAAATAGAATGTGATAGGGGAAAGATACTTTTGTCTTAATTTAAGTCACTTAATTTTGCTGTGCCTTTGTCAAAGTAGTTTAGACTGCACCCTAACTTATACAACTAGTTACAAGAACCCTTATAGGATATGGTTAAAGCTATACTCATAAAAAAAAATTCACAGCATTAAATATATTAAGCATTCAATTCAGGAAGACAGAAAAGGTACAAAATAAATCTAAGAAAAGTGGAAAAAAGAATAAGAATAAAAAAGAAATTAATAAAAAGTGAGAAAGACAGAACTAATAAATACATAATAGCAGGTTCTTTGGAAGAAAAAAAACAATGAGTCATGAAACAGATAAATGGTTAGCCAATCTAAGCAAGAAAAAAACCATAAATATATAAAATAAATATTCATAGCTATATAAAAAATTGATCTTAAAAGATGGCTTTTCCTCAAATCCCATTCAAATAATTTTGAAAACATTAATGAAAAACATAGTTTTCTAGGTAAACTTCAATTCTTTCAATGAAGCAAAACAAAATACTAACAACTAATGTAGCACAAATACAAAGGAAACACACAGACCAATTTTATTTGGAAATAACTTACGAATATCAATGGAGAAAATCCCAAATAAAATAATTATCAAACACATTACAACAATTCATTGAAGAAAAATACAACACAACCAAATACAGTTGTTTTTGTAGGAATGTAAAGAGTTCAAAAATAGAAAATCTGTTAATATGATTCATCATAGCATGATAAAAAAAAGAAAATCATATAGATCTTGCTCATTAATGTTGAACAGGTAATCGGCAAAATTTAACACCCATTTGTGACATAAGTGCTCTTTGAAACAGGAATAAAATGACACATCCTGAATATGATAAATTTTTAATAAAAAAATTTTCTAAATTGCTAATAATAGTTTCTGCAATGCAGAAAAGCTAGATGACCGACTAGGGGGCAGTATTTGTAGTTTTATCACAGGTAAACAAAGGGCTCATTTCCCTAATATTAAAAAGCTTCAATAAATGAGTCAGAAAGGCCATGTTTAATGGAAAATCACAGAGAGCATCCTTCTTAGAGTCAGTACAAGACAAGGCTGCCTGCTTTTGTTTTCTAACTTTGTTCTGGAGGTATTTGCCAAGTTTTTGTTCTGTTTTGTTAATCCTCACATGAAGATATTTTTTCCATTGCTTTTCAGAGAGTGGGGGGATAGAGAGATATGAGGCCCAACCAACTGAGCCACACTGGCCAAGGCTCGGTATAGCTTTAATTTGCATTTCACTGAGTGAGGTTTTTCAAAGGATCATTTATATTTCCTTTTCTGAGAACTTTCTGTTGATATACTTTGCCTAGGCTGGGCTGAAGCCCTGAACAAACTGACACTGCAATTCAACTGTTTCTCTGAGATCATCTCTAACTCCACCCCTGGACACAGGTCTCCCACTCCATATCTAACTGCCTAGGCCATCCAGACCCATTTTACTTCCCATGGTCTCCACAGATTCCTTTCTTTTCAGGGATAATACTATTACTTACCTCTGTATACCTGCATCTTCAGTCTCTTGCATAATCATTTATTTTTTAAAAAATCTATTTTATTGATTTTTTACAGAGAGGAAAGGAGAGGATAGTTAGAAACATCAATGAGAGAGAAACATTGATCAGCTGCCTCCTGCACATCTCCCACTGAGGATGTGCCTGCAACCAAAGTACATGCCCTTGACTGGAATCGAACCTGGGACCTTTCAGTCCACAGGCCGACGCTCTATCCACTGAGCCAAACTGGTTAGGGCTCTTGCATAATCATTTAGCTCCCCTCTTTCTCTTATATTTTCAACATTCTTCTCTGCCTTTGAACATGATTAAACCTCGCCAATCTAACCAGGAACCCATGCAAAGCAGGACATCATCCAGAATCTTTCTTCTTTCCTCTTAACCCTATATTAATCAGACATCACTGAGCGTTCCCTATATCTAGATTTCATTACTTTGTTTGGGCAATTTTACTTATTTCAAGAAATTTTATGCCTAGAAAACACACAAAAAAATAATAAAGGGTGAATAAACTCAAATAGCAAAAGAAAGAATAGAAACCATCTCTAGTACCTGAAGGAGGGAAAGTTTCTGGAGTGGTTGCTGCAGTGCTGGAATTTCCTTCCGAAGATTCTGTTCTGACATCTGTGAACGGGTTATCTGGAAGCCATGTTCCATTTGGCGAAATTGTAGTAACTACAAAATTGGTGCTTGCTATTCTTGTGGTCCCATTCTCAGAATCTGAAGTATTGACAGTGGTTACATAGGTGGGTCCCAGAGTTAGATTTGGGCTGAAAGTTGGTGTCACAGGAAAAGTTACTGAAGAAGTAGGATTTGAAGTTTTGATCTCTTCTTTTACTGACTCTGCTACCAATGCTTCATTAGATCTTGTAGGTGAAGCTATAAACATCAAGAAAATAAGGAAACATCACAGGAAGAATGTGATAGCTTAAAAATTACAAAGCACAAAGTATCAAGTCTTAATAAGCTCTCAAACACTTGGACACCAAAGAGTGAATAAAATAAACAAGAGTGTGGGCACATTTATCTAGTGCTGGACCCTTTCTACTAACCCAAAAGACTACTAGTCCAAGGGAGGAAGAAACTGGATTCTTTACTTAGTTCCTCAGAATTAATATATAGGGTCTTAAATAACAAATTTTTTTAAAATATATTTTATTGATTTTTTATAGAGAGGAAGGGAGAGAGATAGAGAGTTAGAAACATCGATGAGAGAGAAACATCGATCAGCTGCCTCCCGCACATCTCCTACTGGGGATATGCCCGCAACCCAGGTACATGCCCTTGACCGGAATCGAACCTGGGACCTTTCAGTCCGCAGGCCGACGCTCTATCCACTGAGCCAAACCGGTCACGGCAACAAAATTTTTTTTGTACTTTTCAGGAATGAATACATTACCTTTTTATTTACTTAAAGAAGTATGTATATGGTATATGTCATAGTATGTAGTATGGTGTATACCACAATGATGAGCATTCACTAGGACTCATAGAGATTTCTGAAAACATTTATTTTACCATTACTTTTAAGTAAAACTTTAATATTTTTTTAAAGTAAAATATTACAGCCTTATTAAATGACAATTTACCTGTGGTTGCATTGTTGGCACTGACATGTATCAGACTACTGACAAGCAGAGTAAGAATGATCCAGGAATCCATGCTGACCTGGAAAAGAGAGAGCCATGTTAAATAAAATTCTATATTATTGTAACTATGTCCAAATACTCACCAAAGGAGTATTTTGGGTAAAATCTTCCCAGCTATTAAAATGTGCACACAGGACCAATAATTTTTTAGGAGTCTGATATGTACATTTCCCCAGGAATCCAACTACTTCATTGAATCTTTATAGACATATAAATAAGACTTAATAAGAACAAACTTTTTTGAGCAGTGATTCTCAACTTTAGTTGCACTTTAGAATTACCCCAAAGAACTTTAAAAAATCCCCATGTCAGACTGCATCTCTGGGGGTGAGAGCTAGGTAGCTGTCCTTTTAAAAGGTGATTGCTATGTGCAGTTTTAGCATCTTCAGAATGAGAAATATGAAAATGGTAGGTTGACTGCATAGTGCCCTTCGAAGCAGACATTATACAGCTGTCCTCAACCTTAATTCCACCTCAAACCATATCAAAGGGCTGTGGCACATTTCCACAACTAATAGTGGCTCATTCATCTATTCAGATTTCTATGCCCTACACTGAGGGAAACAACTGCAGAGCAATAGTCATAGGTCTTATCTTCATGGGCCTCATGCCTAGAGAGTAATTCAGTATGGTAGTGCCTCTCCAGAGGAAAGGTAGGGACGTGCAGATGGTTAATATATATCCCAGGAGTTGCCTCTGGTACCAGCAACCATGCCTAACAGGGAAGTGGGTCCAGCAAGTAGCCTTTCCAAGGTGTGGCCATACAAGATTTGACCATATTCCCATTCTTCCCATCTGACCATAATCCAAAACTGGAAAAACATACAATTCCCTCCATAGGATTAGGAAACAGGTTGGAAGGCTGATTATTGTATATGTATATGTATATGTGTCTATTCTTGATAAATCAATATGAAATGGTTTTTTGGGAAAATATGTATTTGGGGAGAGGGGGTCAGACCATTGCCTCATTCCATAGACCAAAATAAAATTCAGTTGAAGAATTAAATGTTTGCATGTACATTTTAAAAGGGAATAAATATTTATGTGAGTTCAGAATGAGGAAGAAAAACATGAAGGCAACATAAGAAAACACCAAGGTTAAAAATGGGAAACCTAACAATAGAAAAAAACAAATGATTCTAAATATAAAAGAAATCAATTAAAAATAACGTGCATTGAAAGGAAGACTTAATATTGCCAGTTCTTTCAATTTTGGTCTATAGATTTAATACAATCTCAATCTCCTAGCAAGTTGTTTTATAGATACTGACCAGCTTATTCTAAAGTTTATAATAGAGAAAGGCAAAAAACTGAGAATAGTCAACTCAGTACCAAAGAACAATGCTAGAGAACTAACACTATCCGACTTCAACACTTACTACAAAGCAATAGTAATCAAGACAGTGTGGTCTGGTGAAAGAATATACAAATAGGAGAGTGGAACAGAAGAGAGAGCCAAAATACAGACCAACATAAATATAGTCAACTGAGCTTTGACAAAGGAGCAAAAGCAATACAATGGAGCAATAAACTGTGCTAGAACAAATGGTCATACAATGTCAAAAAGTAACAAATCTAGACACAGACCATACACTCTTCACAAAAAATAATTCAAAATTGATCATAGACCTAAATATAAACGTAAAACTACAAAACCTAGAAGATAACATAAGAGAAAATCTACATGACCTTGGGTATGGTGATGACTTTGTAGATATCACACCAAGGACATGATCCATGAAAGAAATAATCAATCAGCTATACTTCATTAAAATTTAAAACTTCTGGTCTGCAAAAGGCAATGTCAAGAGAATGAGAAGCCATAGATAAGGAGAAAATATTTGCAAAAGACACATCTCCTAAGGATTGTTACCCAAAATATACAAAGAACTCTTAAAACTCAATAAGAAAACTATTAACGCAATTTTAAAAATGGTCAAGCCCTGGTCGGTGTGGCTCAGTTGATTGAGCGTCATCCCATACACCCAAAGGTTGCTGGTTTGATTCCCAATCAAGGCACATGCCTGGGTTGCAGGCTCAGTCCCCAGGGGAGGGCATGCAGGGGCAGCCAATCAATGTGTTTCTCTCTCTCAGGAATGTTTGTTTTTCTCTCTCTCCTTTTCCCTTCCTCTCTCTCTCTGTAAAATCAATAAAAACATATATTTTAAAAAATAGTCAAAAGGCTTGAACAGACATCTCATCAAGGAAGATTTACAGATGGCAAGTAAGCATATGAAAAGATGTTCAGCAACATATGTCATTAGGAAATTACAAATTAAAACATGAGATACCACTCACCACACACCTATCAGAATGGCCAAGATCCAAAACACCGACAACACCAAATCCTGGTGAGGATGTGGAGCAACAGGAACTCTCATTCATTGCTAGTGAAAATGCAAAGTGATACACACACTTTGGAAGACAGTTTGGTGGTTTCTTATAAAAACTAAGCATATTCTTACCATAAGGAGAATCCTTAAATGCATGTATTACCAAGTGAAAGAAACCAATCTGAAAAAGCTACATATTGTATAATACTCTTGAGAAGGCAAAACTATGGAGATACTAAAAAGATTAGTGGTTGTAGAGTTAGGAAAGAGAAAGAGAATGAATACATGGAACACAGGACTTTAAGGGCAGTCAAACTATTCTATATGATGATATAATTGGGGATAGATATCATTATACAGTTGCCACAACCCATAGAATGTATGTACAAAGCCAGAAGTGAACCTTAATGTAAACTATGGACTTTGGGTGATAATGATGTGTCAAAATGTAGGTTCAACAAGGATCACTGTGGTAGATGTCAATAGTGGGGGAGGTTGTGCATATTTAGGGAAGGGAGTATTTGGGAGCTCTATAATTTCTACTCCATTTTGCTGTGAACCTAAAACTAATCTAAAAAGTCTTTTTTTTTTTTAAGAAATAAACTGGGGAAATTTTCATAAATAAGAGAAAGATTAAAACAAGAACTCATATACCAATACGAAAAACATTAAAACCCCAACTTTGAAAAACCTGGAGAACCTAACCAGGTAATTTACAGAAGAGAAAAACAAACAACTAAGAAAATACATGAAAAGTGCTGACCATCCCCACTAATCAAAGGAATATGAGATAACATTTTTATTTTCCAAATCAGAAAAGATCAATCATTTGAAATATTTAATGCTGGTATAAGGGTCCACAAGAAGCCTTCCCAAAATGTGCCACTTTAGCATGTGAATTATTTTGAGCTGAAGGCAATCAAGACCCTGCAAGCACACCAGACTTTAAATTAGGGGCCTTGCCCATAATAAGAGTTGTCACCAGAAAAAAAATGTTTTGACCCATCTATATGGCAGGGCAAACTACTAATTACTGAACATCTACTCTCCTTATCATTTTGCAATAACCTTCCTCCCCTCTGAAACCTCAAGGTACCTTACCTCATCCTTAGCTCAGGATATCATTTATTTAAATTTCTCTTTCTGTCTTTGAACCTCTCACGTGAGGTCTCTGACTCTCTCATGTACTAGTAAGTGAATTTCCCATGCATACACATGTAATTAAATTAGGTCATTTTCTCTTATTAATCTTTATCAGGTGAATTTAGTTATTAGACCAGCAGAAAGAACCTGGGTTAGAGGACAGTTTCTTCCTCCCTCACACTCGCAAGAGTCACAGAAAAGAACACAAATAGTGGTGGGAATGCCAACTAGCCTAAACTAACAAATTTCTTTCCAGTAAGATTACACAAGAATCTTAAAGATATTCATATTGTTTTCTAACCCATTTTCAAGGTTCTATTCTAAAGTGAATATAAATAAACTATAACTCAGACTAAAATGATTTAGAGAGTCCAGCCAGCTTGGCTCAGTGGTTGAGCGTTGACCTATGAGCCAAGTGGTTGCAGTTCAATTCCCAGTCAGGGCATATGCCTGGATTGCAGGCTTGATTCCCAGTGTTGGGTGTGCCGGAGGCAGCCAGTCAATGATTCTCCCTCATCACTGATGTTTCTATCTCTCTCTCCTTCTCTCTTCCTCTCTGCAATCAATAAGTAAATAAATATATTTTAAAATGATATAGAGATAGTCATTAAGTGGAAAAGAACAATCCAAATACCCACTAGGGAAAACAGGAAAAAGATGAAATAAGTATTATGTTGTTATTCAAGATGATATATTATTATGATTCAAAATGCTGCATTCAAAGAGTATAAGAAAGTGGAACAAACCATTTATTTTTCTTAAATCCTCATCCAAGGATATGTTTTTATTAATTTTTTCAAGAGAGAGAGAAAGCAAAAAAACATTGACTGGTTTCCTCTGGTACCACCCCGACCAGAATTCAAACACCCAACCTAGGCATGTGCCCTGAACAGGAATCAAACCAGCAACCTTCTGGTGTACGGGATGATGTTCCAACCAACTGGACCAACCGGCCAAGGCAAGCCCTTCATTAAAAAAAAAAAAAAAAAGGTAGTGGGGGGGGGGGGCCCAGCCCTGGTTAGTGTGGTTCAGTGGTTGGAGCGTCAGCCCGTGAACCGAAGGGTCTCAGGTTCTGGTCAACCCACATACCTGGGTTGCAGATTCAATCCCCAGCCCCAGTCAGGGCATATGCAGGAGGCAATCAATCAATGTGTCTCTCTCACATTGGTGTTTTTCTCTCTATCTCCCTCCCTCCCTTCTACTTTCTCTAGAAATCAATGGAAAAAATATCTTTGGGTGAAGATTAACCAAAATTTAAAAAGCCAGATCAAGACTGAATATACCATATGATCTCAACTAAATTTATAAATGTATATGCATGAAAGATTAGAAGGAAAAATCTATAAAAATTTTGGCATAGTACTTTATGATTTTTATTTTCTTTATATTGTACTTTTTATTTTCTAAATTTTAAAAATAAAAAGCATGTTATTTTTATAAATAAAAATAATCAATACAATTAAGTTAAAAAATAAATTTCACTACAGTCTGAATATAAGGAACAAAACTAAAAGAAGGAAAACTGCACAAGGAAGGCATA